GGTTTATTTCCGTTTTTCATCGTAGAGAGGGAATTTGTATATTCGACGATTTAAGATTTTTACTCATTTTGGAACGCTTAAAATAATGAGTGGAGGAAAAACACCGTAGAAAAGTGCCTGGAAGTATTTCTATCGGTAAAAAGTGAAGCATTCTTCAAATTAAGAACAATGGCCGTCATATCGAGCAAGTAACGCCTTTAAAAAAGTCTCCCTTGTGGGAATAAAAATTGTCCAACCCTTCCACGAATAAATGGGACACCCTCTGTATAATTTAGATGGATATTTGTACATTGCTCCGATTATGTTCTGCCTTTCTTAATTCGTTTAATATATTTTGAAAAATTGTAATGTGGCCCGTCTATAAGGCGGGTTTATAAAGCTAGTATATAATAACAGCATGATACTAATAGGTAAAAGGCTTTCAAATACTCATGCCATCTGGCGAAAAGAACACCAAAACTGTATAAAAACGGCAAAAGGGAATTTATAAAGGCAAAAAGGCATCACAACTTGCAAAAAGACAGCCTTTTTGTGCACACTGAATTTAAGTGCCAAATAAAAATTATAATTTGCCCGTATTTTGCCCGGGAAATTTCGCGAGCGCCAAAGGCGCGAGCGGCTTAGGAAACTTTTGATTTGTCCCCCGGCAAAAATCATATTCCGCCGCGCCTGTGATGCAAATATCTCCACTGAACTTGCGCATGGGCATATGGTGCCATTTGCAAGTTTCACACTAATTATACTTGTGATCGATTAACGAAATCTGTGAGCACACGTTGGGAGACCTCCATTGTGAGTACCGTTATCATTTGCAAGACAACTTACGTCACACTTAACGGAAGAATCTGTCTCGTGACATACGAGATGAAGCTTTAAACGCCATCCCGTTTGAAAATTTTAAAGCATGAGGACACTCTCCTCGCGGTAGACGTCGTATGGTGCCATCAGTAATTAATAATTTTCTTGGAAAATGCAGACTGGTAGAATTCACTGAAACAAAGTAAAGAAATAAGATTTTGTCAGATACTATTTATTTTCCCACATGAAAAATTTAAGGGATTTCGTGCAGAAATTTGGCTGGGTTTTATGCAGAGAATTGGCTAGATTTAATGCAGACAAATTTATGCGGAAACAATTCGCGCACAAAATATGCAGAATTGTGCTAAACCTTTCTGCAGAATATATGTATGTACCTTTCAGATGCAGTTAAATGTTTTATGCAGAATCGTTTATACTTTTCCTGCATAAACCAATATTTAGGCCAATTGTGTAGAATTATGTCAAATTCGACATACGATTCCCTTAAATATTAAATTTCCTATTTAATTTGTAAATTTTCAACTTGTCAAAATTTCTGCATTCACAAGTCTCTCAAACTCTTAAGAAATATCAGTAAGGAATTTTTCACAATATCAAAAACTATCTATGATATTTCGAATTTCTTACCTGTAACTGATTTGCTCTTAAAATTTTCATAATAGCTTTATGTACACCCGCCGCTTGCTTTACAAATATAGGACACGTCTTTGAATCGAATTTACTTAAAAATATAAATGAAATTAGTTCATAATTGTATTTCAAAATTGATACCAAATTCGTCAAATAACCAAGACCACCTTGCGCAAGGTAGAACACGTTATTAGTAAAATATGGATAAAAATAAGTTGGGTCAAACTTTCAGGCATAAATACCTTCAGCTGCGTAGAACACTTAAGCTATATTTAGGGTGACGAATTCCTAAAAAAATAAGGGTTTCCTATCTCCGTCCGGTTTATTTACCGTGATTAAAGGGATCATCCATAAATTACGTTATCGTTTTAGTGGGAGGATGGTTTTGGTCTTCCTATCTTTCCCATGTTAAAATTCCCTATCTCATAATTGATGATCTTATGGTCGCACTTCCGCTCCAGCGGAAGTGCGACCATGAAGGAGAGAAAGTGAAAGGAGAAGTTTACAAAAGATTAAAATGAAAAAAGTTTCTTCCGCACCCTAGCGTGCGGATGGGAGACCAGTGAAATAAAAGCTCCACCAGGAGAAAAAGTTTTCTCTCCGAGCAGCTGCTGCTACAAGGAGCTTGCTCATTAACTAATGTAAGCCATGCACGTTATTCACTACTACTAATATCAACTTAAATGCAACGTGCAATTTGCAAAGAAATATTCACATTTGAGAGGAGATTATTTTAAAAAATAAATACTTGCAAAAGTGTGTGTGTGTGTGTGTGTGTTTGTGTGATGAAAGGGTCATACAGGATGGAGATTGATATCAATAAATTGTAACAACAGCACCAAAGATAGGATGATAAATGAAGGTTTTATTTCTGGTAAGTGTGTAGGTTACATGAAATATATGTACATATGAAAATACGCATGTTTCATTGCAAAATATTTGCAAAATTAAGCTTGGTATGCTTAGTTCATTAATTATTTTAGATTTTAGTTATGATTTTCATTATTATTTTTTCTTTCTTTTCAAGTTACATATTCCGTCTTACTGCAACATTGTCTTACAGCGGAAAGTGAAAGTAACTCGACCAAGAGAGAAAAGTTTCTTCCACTAGTAGCTCCAACAAGGAGCTCGCCCACCAACTAATGCAAGCATGTTCTTCAGGTACAGTTCAATATAGGAGACATTTTATGTAACAATATTAACATTTTTGAGGACATTTATTTCAGTTATTACATTAAATATTTGGATTAAGTTTGTGCGTGTGTTTTATTTATTGAATCAAGGGTCGTGCAGGAAGGATGGTGAAATTTTAACATTAGCTGCGAAGATATTTAAGTTTAAGTAAATTTTACTTAGTTTATATTGAATATAGTAAAAATTGCTCGTTTTTATTTTCCAGAGGAGCCATATCCTTTGGCTCCACGCCGAGAAGCAACAGGTGCTGTGGTGGTAAAATTTCATCAAACGTAGACTTCTTCAACGGTCCATTATGGAGTTTTATAATCAAGAACTGAGCAACACGATCCCCAAGTTCAACTTGATATGGAAGTTTCCCATGGTTGATTAGCATAACCCCAAAGTTCCTTCAAAATCTTCATCGACCACGCCCCCCATGACGTCAATTTTATGCCGCAACGCTAACCCAGACCTTGGTTTAATCAAACCAAATGGCCCAACGGAATTTAACTTGAATCCCAATATCCATCAATATCATTTCCCCTGCTTTAAGCAACGCTCCGGATTGACAGTACAAATCATAACCAGCAGATTGAGGGTGCAACTTTGTTGGAAATTTACTTTCAAAGGTCTTCCTAATAAAGTGGACCGTTCTATAGTCATCTAGAAGGTTAATATTTATACATTTTTTATTTAAACTTCAATTATTAGTCAAACTATTATATATTATTGACTTATTTTTATATATTTGAAATATGTAGGAAATCAATTACTACATTCAATCCATATAATGAGGAGATACCATCAAAAACGGGATACCAAAAATTGTCAGGTAAAAGAAAGCTTTCTTTGGCTTGGAAAATCGAAGTCATAGCTACGTTACATGATTTACAAATTTTAATTTCTTTGGAGTGTTATAGGCAGAGAAAAAACTGTGTATGTCCCATATAATATCGTTATTTGAAAATATATAAGCATTCTCGGAATAATAGACGACTGATTAGACATTCTCTGTATGTTCAGCTTAAGAGAGGTAAAGAAAAATAAGATTTAGTATTTAATTTGAAATTAGGGATCAGGTTAGATCAGGGTCTGTGTCAATCTTTGTTTGCAGGGTATTGCAAGCTGCAACCAACGATTGAAAATATTTAAACGACAGGTTTGCCCTGTGGTTTGATTCTTTCTGATGCAGACATAAGCCTGCCCATTTTTTCTCCAAGTTTGGAGTTTTAGCCAAAACCCCTGACCTAGCTGGCCCTCCCAATGGACAATATTTTGTCCACTAGGATCGTCACTCCTTTCCCCTTCGGGAGCAAAATTAAGCGAAATAGGACCTTTGTAAGATGATGAAGGCACATATGCTTCAATGCTCCGGAGCTGATGATGATGAGCTTGCAGGAGGAATCGTAGTACGAGCAACAGGAACAAGCGCCGTTGAAGGAACAGGAACAGCAGAAGGCGGAACACTCTTGACTCGACCTCTCTTCTCCGCTGGGGACTTTTCTGCAATTAATAGAAATAAAAATTTAAAGCTTATGATTACAACAAATTTCCCTATTAACATTTTAAAATAATTATTGACATCTTACCCTTTTCAGCCATCTTCCTCTTGTTAGCGGCGGCAGCAGCCTTGACTGTCTTCTCTTCAGGACCAGTGTAGAACAGCTTAACGGGTTTCGACGAGCGGCATCTAGCTCCTTCTTGGAAGCAGCGTCAACCTTCTTCGCATCAGCTGCATTCTCCCTTGCTTCCCGTCGTCGTTTCTGCTCCGTATATAAACAACTTTTTTCAGTTTAACAACTGGCTCCAGTTTCTTTGATTTGGTTGCAGGTTCTTTGCGCTTTGACTTAGGCACTGCATACAAATCATCCACGAGGTTCAGCCCTATAGTAGAAACAATTTACAATTAAATTAAAAATGAACAATAAGTATATGACCTAATAAATCAAATAAAATATCTTACGTTTTGCGAATGTTCATTTGCAGGAACAAAATCAGGATCCTCCTCTGGCTCAGACGGAGAATCCTCGTCCTCTTCGTCTTCATCCTCCTCCTCATCAGTGAAAGGTCCGCTTGGTTCCTCCTCATCATCGTCTACGACGAATCCAGCGTCAAAGACTTCAGGTTGTCGACGTGAGAAAGAAGAAAAGCTCGTGCGTCCCAGACTCTCGACTTCCTGGCTTAGCCTCCTCTAAGATTTTTCGTGCTCTTGCCACTGCGTTTATCCCTGCTAAAATTTACGTAAATATTGGAATTTATTTAAGATTTATTTTTATCAACATTTGAAAATTTTCCTAAAGCTTGTTTAGTTTCTTAAAATTATTTTATTTGTGTTTTAGGAAAACTTACCCTGAGACATTTTGGAGTTTTTAAAGTTTTTATTTCTTCTTTGGAAATCCTTTGCACGTAATGTTGAAACATTGACTAACTTGCTCATTATTTTGCCAATTGTTTTTATAGTCTTAGTAATTTACAAAAAAAAATTCCAAAATAAGTACATACCGTAAAAATGTAATAACTCCCTAGGGGTTACTAATTCAATTATTTACAAAATACGGTTAATAGTGGTAAGTGGTAATTAATATTTTTTACAGTATTGGAGTTGAAGTGATGGTATGTTTTATTATATGTAAACACATTCCTGGTATTAAGATATTGACGTCAGCCGAGATATAAAAAAAGATGTTGTTATACATATTTTCTCACAAGCATTTTTAGAATACACACTTCTTGACTTTGATTTTGGAAATTTTGGTAAGTTATTTTTTATTTATTTATTATTTTTAAATTTCCAAGTTTAAATTTATACAATTAATTCTCAAATTTGTTTTTTTTTCTCCGTGCTTAGTGTATGAGTACTTCATTCGGAGCAACCTAATAATAGTTGAGAGATTTACATCACAAAGAAAATGGTGAGATCACTTAGACAAGAATGTGTATAAACTGTTGATAGTTACTGAGATTGTTGTTTTATTTTGGCAGGCTCCTCGTATTAAGACGACAACATTCCAATGCTTGAAATGTTTTAGGAGATTCTTAAATCGTCAGCATTTTGCGTCACATTTACTAAGGCACCGAGATGAAAACAAGAGAAAATTGTGTCAATATTGTACATGTCATTCAGGTCGTCTAAATTGTTAGAAGTACATATGAATACTTATCATAGATGTGAATATTGTGACTTCTCAGCCAACATTTTTGATCTAGAGCACAATGAAGCTCATAAAAGAGGAGTTATAAATCCATGAAATTTGATCAAAGAGGAAGAGGGCTACGACTGAATGCTTTCCCTTCTCTGAAATTGAAGCTTTCAAGGCTTTATGAAAACTTACAGATTTAGAAATACACATGAGGATAATAATATTATTTCTGTTAGAGATTTTTTTAATAGATTTAAGTTTAAAATTAATCAGATTCTATTTCACAATGTTTCAATTTATAATAGCATTAAGTTTCAAATAACGCTTTTGTGTAAATTTAAACGTATTCATCCAAGCGTGGATGAGAAGAGGGTAGAATTCATGGAAACAACAGAACAATATTTTAATTCTTCTCTTAAAATTATCCTCAGTCCCCTCTACATTAATAGAATCTTTTGTGACATGGTTAATGAAATCGATAATAATGTGGAAATCTTCGAACGAAATGGCAGTGGTTGGATATTAGATGAAGTGAAAGGCTGTGATATACAAACAGCTCAGTTTGAAATATTAAAGGGTGGATGTTCGTGCATCATTCCCAGCCATCTGAAAATAAGAATGCCATTGTGAATCCCGATAATAAGGAAAATGATTGCTTTGTTTCAGCTTTTCTGATCTGCATGCACGGAGATTCAGTAGATAACAGGCATCGTGGAAGAATATCTCAATATGAAAATTTAAAACTCACTACGATTTCTCTCCGATTTAAAGTTTCCAACATCGTTGAAAGATATCATAGCATTCGAAAAGCGGCACAAACATATTAAAATTGGTATTAATGTGTTTGGTATTGATCAAGAAGAGCAGCTTAACGTTTTACGCCTAACACCTTATGCAAATAGCAGAACGCATAAAATCGTAAACATTCTATACATTCAGGATGCTTTTAAGCAACATGGGCATTACATGTCTATCCTGAATTTTTCTCGCCTAATCAACAGACAGGGACATCATCGAAAATTTGTTTGCTACAATTGTTTGAATACTTTCGGAGATGAAAAGCGTCTTGATTCACATCAGCAGTTGTGTTTTGAGTTTAAAACTCAAAAGGTTTCTGTTCCTTCAGTCGTTGATGGAAAAATTCCATTCTGCTCTTTTGAGAGTAAAAAACTTAGTAATAAACTAAAGTGTAACTTTGTGATGTATGGAGATTTTGAAGCAATGCTCACAGACGATAATACCAGTACGACCTCAATAGATAAACACAAAATTTCAGGATATAATCTTGCAGTAATTGGCCCAAATAAGAAACTGGTTCATATATCGAAATATCGTGGTCCAAATAGCATTGACAAATTTATAGATGAAGTGAATCTACAAGCTAGCTTTTGCATACAAAGGAACAAAATCCATATCGCTATGAAACAACTTTCTCTAGAGGAAGAATATGATTTTTCTATGGCAGATTCCTGCCACATTTGTGAGCATGATTTTGATCACCAATCTATAAAAGTTCGAGATCATGATCACAATACTGGATTATTTAGAGGAGCTGCTCATAGAGAATGTAATGCTTCGTATATTCAAAAAGTCAAAATCCCTGTACTTATGCATAATTTTAGAAATTATGACTCTCACCTGCTGTTAAGTTCAGCAACGAAATTTGGTTCTGGGAATACGTTCGTTATCCCTCAAAACTCTGAAAAATTTATAGGCATTATTTGTGATAAGTTCATGTTCATAGATTCTTTCATGCATCTTCCCAAATCTTTAGATACTCTTGTAACAAACCTTCATGCAAAACCCGAAGGCTTTGATGACAAGTTTGGTATAATGATACAACATTTTTCAAAAGAACGGGCTGTAAAACTCTCAAGGAAAGGTGTCTATCCATATTTTGAGTTTTATAACACCCTCACTTGTGAAGGGATTTCACAAGAGGATTATGATTTTGGTAAGTCAGTGTTTGAATCCGAATGCACTGACCTGGGTTCGTACCACGACATATATTTAACAACAGATGTACTTCTGTTGGCATGCGTTTTTGAAAGCTACAGGGATATGGCAATTTCTAACTTTAAGCTTGACCCTTGTCACTATTTTAGTCTCCCAGGCTTCAGCTGGGATGCTGCTCTTCTGAGTACAAAAGTTAAGCTAGAACTTGTTACTGATCAAGACATGTACAATACTATAGAGTCTGGCATTAGAGGAGGAGTATCTATGATATCTCATAGATATTCTGAAGCTTACAACAAGTATATGGAAGATTATGAAGAAGGAGTCAAGGAAGACTCTTTTCTTCTTTATATTGATAAAAACAACTTGTACGGTGAGGCGCTTCAGCAGCCTTTGCCTGTTTCTGATTTTCAATGGGAAAGTCAAGAGTTCATTGATAATTTAAGTATAGATGATATTTTGGCATGGGGTGATGAGGATGAAATCGGTAGAATTTTGGTTGTCAATTTAGAATATCCCTGTGAGCTCCACCTGTTGAGCGAGCACAACGAATATTCACTAGCTCCGGAGAAAATTACAATTTCCATGAATCAACTCTCGAAGCATCAGCGGGAGCTTTTAACTTCCTATAACATTAAATATTCAGAAAAGCAGAAAAAATTAGTTCCTCATTTAGGATCTAGAAAAATGTATCCAGTGCATTATAGAAATCTCAAATATTATTTGGAGAAGGGAATGGTATTAACAAAGATTCATAAGATAATTAAATTTGTTCAAAGGCCCTGGCTTAAAGATTTTGTAAACCTTTGTTGTGATTTACGACGAAAAGCTACAAACAAATCTGAGCAAGACTTTTTCAAGCTAATAGTTAACGCAATTTTTGGACGTAGCATGATGAATGTTAGGAATCAGCAAAATGTATATATAGTTAATAGTATTGAAACAGCAAAATACTATTCCAGGCTTTCGAACTTCAGAAAATTTGAGATTCTTTCTCCAAACTTGGTACTTGTTTTCATGAGTAAACCTAGTATTGTATTGGATAAGCCAATATATACAGCGTTTTCGGTTTTAGATCTCAGCAAGTTGTTTATGCAGGTTTGGCATTATGACAAGATCAAAAAATGGTATGGAATTAAAGCCAGGTTCCTTTTTACAGATACGGACAGCTTAGCCTATCAAATTAAACCCGCTGATCTTTATGCTGATTTAAGACTGGTGAAAAATGATTTTGACTTTAGTGATTTTGACCACACTCATCCACTTTATTCTACAGAAAATAAAAAAGTGATTGGTAAAATGAAGGACGAGAGTAACGGAAAAATCATGTATAGTTTTGTGGGTGTTTCTCCAAAAATGTATTCCTTTGCAGGTAAGAATATCCATAAGATTGCTATGAAAGGAGTCAAACAATCTTTAGTACGAAAACATGTAACTCATAAAGCTTTTATGGAGACTTTGTTTGAGCAAACAAAATATATGTGCAGAATGAATTTGATTCGTTCAAAGAATCATAAACTAACAACTGCAAATTATACAAAAGTAGCTTTGCATAGTTTTGATTCGAAACGTTTTATTTTACCCGATGGAATTAGTACACTTGCTCACAATCATTTTTTGATTCCTACGTACAACAAGTAAAATATTTAAAATTAACAAGTACCAATTATTTATTTAGTGAATTATTGTACAGTTTAAACATAACAATAAAATGATTACAATTACAAATATATAAATAATAAATAAAACATGTACAGTTTAAGGTTTGAAAACTTTTGTTATTCCCTTAATTTGGCATCTACAAATAGGACATAGGTCTTGGGTAGTAGAGCATGGAAAGCAGGAGCAAATGTGACAACATGGAGTGAACATGTAATTAGCTTCTTCGAGTTTACACACCGAACACAGAAATGTTTCCATCAGGCTATGAAGGAGTGTAAGAGTAGCATTTTCTTGATTTTCACCATTCTCATCCTTTGACGAATTTATTTGTTTGCATAGACTCTGTAATAAAAAAATAATAAAACAATAAAATAATTATTTTGATAAAACTGAAAATATATAAAAGCATTACAAAATTACATTATATTTTTGGTAAGTATAACTTTGGTCTAAATCCTTCGATAAAATAGTCTGCAATTTAGGTTTGTGCAAAGAGAGGAATGGACAGTCACTTGAATGAATAGAGTGTTCAATCCAGGGATCATCACTTGGCAGCCAATTATGGATTATTATTCCACAATAATAACAAGAAAGCTGATCTCCATATCCAGTAGAGTAAAATCCTGCTTCACTAAAATTTTTGGGATTTTGCTTACATTTTCCGGTCCAGTTTTTGAATGTTGCTAAACGATCACTATTTAGACACATATCTTTGTTATCAATATCGTATGGTTTATAGACCAGAGTTGGAAAAGTTTCATCTTGGAGAACCATGTTTAGTATTTAAAATAAATACGGAAAACCTTATCTGATTAGAACTGAATCGCATGAGCTCTGACACTACAATGAACATATCACTAATATGTCGTACTACTTTAGCATAGTTTATTAAATTATTAAAACAATTTTTTTACACAAACCAGACCTCAAAGTTAAGAAGGAATTTTTTGTTGTTGTTGTTGTTCAAAAACGAATACCTCAGTCAAAAGCCATTCTATCATGTGGGAAACCATATGAAGTCTTCTGTCTTGATGTAACGTCCTTAGTGTTGCGAGGTCTTTGGGGAATTCCCGTTGGAGTACGATATGGGTCAAAGGTTTTATTCAGAGCATCATTTTGGTTTAACAGTTCCCATGCACTGAAGCTCGACAGCTTATGAGCACTGAGCGTAGCTGTTTGTTTTAGAGGAATAGAATCTAAGGTACCCATAAGATCATTTCTCACTACAGTTGAAAATAGAGCGGCAGGGACATTTAACATTTTACACACTCTCAGGAATCTGTTGATTCCGTTTGGGGATGTGGTCCATTTCAAATCTCTAATGGAGTAACTCATTAAATCCGAAATGTTAGAGTCAGGTTCAAACTCACTTCCCCAGAAAGTTACTCGTCCTGATTTATCCCATTTTATCATTTCAGGATGACACTTTAAAAACCCGAGCAAATTGTGAGCTTTATTCATTTGAGTGGTAGGAAATTCTTTCAGCATTTTTATATCTGATTCAGATAACGTGAATTTTTCAGGGGAACCAACTGGAGTAGACTCTGTGCTAGAAGGAGTTACAGGTGGAGGAGTTTCATTAGTGGAGATAGTATTACTTTTTCCTATGGATGATTTATCTTCACCAGAAACCATTCTAACGGAAATAAGTTTATCTAAAATGTCTTTCAACTGATTATTTACACGTTTCATTAAACTACTGTACAATTGGACTTTAATATCCTCCGAAATTAAGGATCCAAAAACTGATGTAGCTTCCTGATCCTTGTCCGTAAAAAAGTGAGTTTTAGCATGCTCCATTGTGTTGGTCTTTTTTAGAAGCTGGGAATACTCGTCTTCACTAACAACTCTCATTTTTTGCGACATTTTAATATTTAGTTTTTAAAACCCTAAGTGTGAACTAATCGCTCGTCCTGCTATTGCACCAAGAGCTGAAAGCACGGGTGTCATTAAGAATGGAAGAAAACCTCCTTTCTGTACTAAATGTTCCTTCTTGCTTTTATGTGATTTTGACTTTTTTGATAATTCCCTGATTTGATCTTTGTGTTTGTGTAATTTCTTTCTTGTTTCCTCGTCTACTTGAAAACGACCTTTTAATATATTTACAGCAATTTCACTTAGTGCTCGTATCTCGTCCGGGGATGCTTCCTGAATGATCTTGCTTGATAAATCGTTGAGAATTTTTAATGCTTTAGCATGTGAGCATTGCGCGTTGTCAATATGGAATGAGAGCGGACCTAGGAGTAGGTGTAGGTAAAATGACATGATTTTTCGTTTATAAGTAAAGACTTTTCTTGATAACTTCCATTATTCAACTGCTTAGCGTACGAAGCTTCATACAGTTTTTATCCTTTTTCCAGGGCACTACTAATAGTCTAAAAAATGAAGCATGTTCATGTATTTCACCACGAACACTATCACCGTGTGTTAGAGAATCAAATTGGTAAAGGCATACCCGTGTTTAGAGGTTATAGACAGAAAGGAGGTGGTCTAGGAAGTATTCTGGGATTTATCGGTCGATATGGATTACCGCTCATTACCAAATATATTCTACCTCATGCAGCGCCTGCAATTATGAGTACAGTATCTGATATTACAAATGGTCAATCAATTAAAACAGCCCTAAAATCCAATGCTATTAAAATGGCTAAAAAGGTTGGAAAATCTATTCTTAAACCCCAAGCAGGAGCTGGATTAGGTTCTAGAAAACGAAAAGCTTTACTAGGTGCAACGTCAGAAGAGTGTAAGGTGTTGCACGAATCACATCACTCGTCCAACCCAAAGAAATCTAAAGCTTCATCCGTAAAATCGGGCAACAAGAGAAAAACACCAACTGCACCTAAGAAAAGAAGATCAATTTTTAGTAAACGGGATATATTTGGATAATGGCATTAATTAACGAATTCTCTCAACCGTCTATTAGGGGACAAGTAGAGTTATTTGGTCTTCCACCTACAGACACAACGGTTGAATCCAGTTTCTACGCAGAATATAAACCTGTTGTAAATATACAAGATAACGATGCAAAAATTGATTTCCGAATTACTGGAAATGCATCGCAATATCTTGACTTGTTTGACCATTTCTGTTATCTTAGAGTAAAAGTTGTTGCATCGGATGGAAAAGATTTACCAGCAGCAGCAGAGGTTAGTACTTCTAACTTATTTATGCATTCCCTGTTTTCGCAATGTGATGTTAGTATAAATAATCAACTTGTTTAAACCAGCAATACCTGTTACATGTACAAAGCTTATTTAGAAACAGTTTTGACATACGGAACTGATTACATAAATTCCCAAGCGACTTGTCCACTATTCTACAAAGACACTGATAATGGATCGCTGAAAGATACTAACACAGGCTACAAAAAAAGAAAGCAATGGATTCAAGCCTCGAAACCGGTGGAATTAATTGATAAATTAAAATTTGACCTTGCTTATCAACATCGATATATTTTGAATGACACAACAGTTACCACTAGCTGTTGAAACGTTTTCCCTTTTGTGCGGGGCACTTGCTTCAGGTAGTCCCGCGATTAATCCCAAAGTAAAATTCCTTGATGCGAGTCTATTTATTAGAAAACATGTTTTATATCCTAGTATTGTCTTGTCTCACCAAAAGCTACTTGAAGGAGGGCATAGTGCTCGATACCCCTTCAAAAAATCAGAAGTAAAATTTTTTTCAATTCCAAAATCGTCACAATCCTTTATCGAAGAAAACGTTTTCCTTGGTACAATCCCAACTAGAATTGTCATCTGTCTAATTCCGAGTAAGGGTTTTGTTGGGGACTATGACGTTAATCCTTATGTATTCCCCCATTACAATCTTAATTATATATCATTAAGTGTGAACAATGTTCCCTATCCTATTAAAGGTTTACAACTTGATTTTGACAGTGATATTAAGTTATTGCCATATTATTTACTGTATTGTTCTCTTGGAACAGCAGGACAAGATCAAGGTTTGACTTTTGACAGAGAAGAATTTTGTAGTGGTCAGACATTTTTTGGATTTGACATTAATCAGTCTACTGGGTCAGATTCTGCACTACAGTTGGAAAAAAACGGATGTGTAAGAATCGAATTAAAATTTGCTAAGGCACTGCCTGAAGCGGTAAATTGTTTAGTTTATTCTGAACATTTTAAAATCTTGGAGATTGACAGATTTAGACAAATTTCTGTACAATAATGAATTCTTTACAACTTCGATATGCCTTAATCAACTCTATGAACCTTTTCATAGCTGTTTGTGCCAAAGATCAGTTAGATAGTATTAATTCAAAAACGTTTGCAATTATTAGTAATAACCAATCTTCAAACGAGGCAGGGATGCACTGGTTAGCTTTCTACAAAGAAACTGAATCGTCTGTTCTAGAATTTTTTGATAGCTTTGGAATGCCTTTAGGTTTTTTTGGAAAAGAATTTGAAGATTTTGCATTAAGAAACGAGAAAAAGGTTAGACAGTCATCATCTCAATTTCAGTCAAATTCCAGCAATCTGTGTGGAGGGTATTGCTTATACTTCTTAATTAATCGAAACCGTGGCTTGTCCTACGATAAAATTTTAAATAAATTCAACTCAGAAAATACTCTTGTGAATGATAAAATAGTATCAAACTTTGTAAAAACAAACCTTTACTTTCCAAAATGTTCCAAATGTGGAATCGAATGTAGCGGAAAATGTGCAAATAGTCTCAGCGATATTTGTATTCAGAAAAATAGACATTGCGTTCGGATATTTCAAACAATTCAATCATGAAAACACAAACTTTTGAAAGAAATCTACTTTAATCCAAAACATATTGGAAGTTTTGGTGGACCACATCGGTTATCTGCAGCAACGGGAGTATCCCTGAAGGATGCTGTAACTTTTCTACAGCATTATGAAACATATACAACAAACAAATCTGTGAAGCATAAATTTTTTAGACGTGAAATGACTTCCCACGAAGTTGATTATTGTTGGCAAGCTGATTTAATAGATATATCAAAATATTCAAGATTAAACAAGGGAACAAAATATTTATTAACAGTAATAGATACTCTAAGTAGATTTGCTTTTGTTAAACCTCTAAGAAAAAAAGATGGAAAATCAGTAACAGAGTCTTTCAAGGAATTAATCCTAAACTCAAATCGGAAACCAAAATTCATACAAACAGACGAAGGAAAAGAATTTTTTAACAAACAATTTTATAATTTATTAAAGGAACAAGACATAAAATTATTTCATAACCATTCGCCACTTAAAGCAGCAATGGTCGAAAGGTTTAATAGAACTCTGATGACGAGATTACAAAAAGTTTTCACATATAGAAAAACAAATGTGTATTATGATATTTTACAAGAAGTAGTAGATTCATATAATGAGAGCAAACAGAATTATTGAATGTTCGCCTAGGTCTGTCAACAAGTATAATCAGATGGATGTTTGGTTTCGGAGTAATAAAGATGTTCTTATGATGAAGCATCAAAAACCGAAATTAAAATCAGGAGATTTTGTTAGAATTAAAATAAATAAAGCGCTTTTCAGGAAAGGCTATTCCCCTACTTTTACAGACAAGATTTACAAAATTAGCGAAGCTCATAACAGCAAACCTATGACATATTCCATAATGGATAATTCAGGGGAAAAGGTGTTAGGAATTTTCTATCCTCAAGAACTATCTAAAGTGTTAACCTAAGCTATTTACATGCAAAATTATTTGAAAAATGAAAGCGGTCCCCATTTCCGCTGGTGCGGAAATGGGGACCGAGATTCATCATACATACGTCACGATAGCATTGAAATTATGTTTTGATGCTGCTTTCACTCATCTACTTATCTCTTTCTTGGAATTATTATCACCAGTTTCCTGTCAAGGTTACATATAAAATCTAGCTGAGATTACGATTTCATAAATTTTATTGTACAAGAAATCGTGACAACTTACCTTTCATCTGGGTTATTGCCAACCGGGTAATAAATTCAAATACCACGAGTGACTAACTAGTGTCATATTCACAGAATCATACATCACCGTCACATAATAGATTGTCATAGATCTTGTAGAGAGAATTTCTGACTGGCTCAAAAAGTCGATATGTATGGATTCCAAACCTAGTTTGACGTTATCAGTCCCCGGTCACTACCATTTCATTTCATCCATTTGTTTTGTACGTATACTGACCAAGACAAGAGAAACGCAGGAAGGACTCGAGGTCATATCATGTCACATATCATGTCAAACTGAACGACATGGCACAATCCATCCATCGAGGCAGAGCTTAATCTAACAGAAATCCACCAACGGATGATGCACACTTTTATATTTTTGAAAGATTGTTATCAACCCATCCGACTGGGGGAATATCAGTTTGGTAACATGTTACTACTAAATGGTAACGCTTTTAATCCTTGGAAGTACAGTACAATAATTAGAAATGGGGCATTACAATTTTGTTCAAAGTTACGTACGAGTAGATATTATTTCATAAACCGGCAATTCATACATACCCTCCTAAAAAACTGGTATTAAATCATTACCGACCGGAGTACACATTTATATGACTCTAACGGCACTGGTAATAACGGGCATTAGTAATGTCGTGGCAAATTTCGTAAATTTCACCCTACCACTCACAAACAAACTAATACAAATTCGGTAGGAAGTTACTACCAAATCAATACAAGTACCAGTACCATCCCGGTAGCAAATTACTACCACATTTTTTAGCGTGTACACACAAACCGAGTCCTGCCACACGGTTGATTACTCACTCCCATTTTACAAAGTTATCACGTACATATTCCCGTCAGAAACAGTGAAAACAAGGCAAGTGATGAGTGGATCGGATCGGATGCGGGTATCACTTTTCACGTCATCAGATCATTTCATATAATCGTGACGATTTGAACAATAAGTTTGTTTTGACCAGGACGTTGTTTTTCCGACCGACAAACACATCAACATGTTTCGCGTCTTGATTTTTAAGCGCAACGCAAATAAATATATTTTTCAGGATGCAAAATCGTGCAAACTTGGCTTGTCGGCTGTTGCAAAATTTATGATAATCGATACAGCACGTGCAGTGGAGGAAATTAGTACTGCATTGAAATTCTTGACGGTATGAAAATAAAATATCACTGTGAAATGGACCTGCCCCTTTTCACGAAGGGATGTTAACGTGCGAATTTTTTTATATACGTTACGTCACACAATTGGCAAAATTAAATCAATAACCAACAAAACAATTAGTTTCAGTTCTTTTTATACAAGTTGTTTATTTCGTCTTTTGTTGACTGTTTGAGCTTGATAATTAAAGTGACGTGTTTAACATGAAAATTTGTAACGACGAGCAAAGTGAAAATACACGAAAAATTAGTTAACAGATTTGATTGTATTCGGTTTTAGTTGAAAAAAATTCAGCTAATTCGAATCTGTTCGTTAACTTGATAATTAGCGAATTTAGTAAATAATCAACAAGTGTGTTAATTTATTTGCGTATGAAGCTCTTTTTTATGCCAGACTCTGAATACCTAGTTTTATACGTAATAACTCTTCATCACATTTAAAAAATTATGTGATCCGGCGGAACACTCGCTCATAAATCAGAAGCATTTCGTTTAACATTTAATAGAATTAAGAATTGCAAAATTGAGAATTGCAAAATATTGAGTATTTAACAATTCTTCAAAAATAAACCATTTTGAAAAATTCTAGTCACAAATTCCTAGACTATAAATAATTCAGTAACTTGGGATGGAATGATAAACACATTGCATTCTTACTATCTAAATTGGTAATAAATTAACACTAAGCTTCGAAAGTTACAATTCGGTAACACATTATTAACACATATTTTTAAACCGCATATTACGATTATCCAATCCATCCATTCATGAGAAAAGTATTTATGCATATTATTAAGAAGCAGAAATTTCATGGTGGAAGAATTTTATTTCGATTTGACTTCCATCTAATTTTTTGCGTCTCATCCGAGAAAGTAAGTTCACTTTGGAATTGAATTTCTTTAAACTTGAATAATTGCGTAAAACCGAATTTTTCTGCAGGAATCTACTAAATCTACTAATTTACCTGACGGGACCCGGTCGTAATTTTGAACGCTTATTAAAATATATACAACGAAATAGCGTCATCTTAACGATTTTGACGTATGATGGATTAAAATTTCCGCAATTTTGTCTACATTTTAAAAAATCCTGCGGCTTTTTAAACCGTAGCAAATAAGTATATGCGCTTAATCAAAAATTGTGCAAATTCTTCTAATTTAAGAACATGGCTACACGCTCAATTCAATTAGAGCACAACACAAATGCATTATAATTGTTCTCTAATTCTTGATAAATAAAAGTGCATTATGTGCATGCATAACTATTTATGAGCATTAAAAAATTCTCCCCGCCCACAATCACTGCACACAGTTTTTTTACGGTATCAGTGATATCGTTAAAAAACTTTCCTTCCAACCGTTTGTCCACCACTCGTCACCAACCCAAGTTAAATCACGTCATTTCTAATAAAACAATGAAATGGAATGAACAACAAACCATGAAATATACTAAATTTTATGAACATTATATACATAAACATACATTTTTTCTCACAAGTCGAGCACAGCGATTACGTCTTTTCGAACTACATGTTAAACATATATGCTTGATGTGATGTACATAAAAACAAAATCAAGGAGTCACAGGGTCCAACATTATACAAGGTTTATCATCGTCTGCATTCCTATTTCCCAGGGACACGTAGATATATACATTCTTCCCAACCCTTTACCTATATAACCTCCCATTGTTTCTAATTTGTGACGTTTTCAATTGTTCAAAGTGTTGAATTACTAACCTACCCCAACCTAACCTAACAAAAATATGTATATATACCCATATATTCTGATAGATTGCCTAGTCACATTTGTCATATTGGACTTGAAACACCTTAAACTTTTCAAGCAGCATGCCTTCCGCCAGGAAAGTTGTTTCCATTTTCTTCTTCGTGGTGCTATTCGTTGTCCAAAATTCGGTAAATACTTACTTTACAATCTCACTCAATACTATGATTTTATCTTGCTCATGATGAGAAAGCCCTAAAAAATTGCATTTTTATTTTTTATTAATACTTTTGTAGGAATGCAAGAAGTTCGAAATCAACAAGTTTATCGAAGAACACGGGACCTGCAACGGAGAAACCCCAACCCTCCCCCTTGATTGGGTCCCTAATGCTCTTGCCGCTGCCGCAAAATGCTTGGACATCACGGATGAATTTGTATGGTCAAATTATTTGTTGTAGTCACCTCATTTGCATATTTTGACCCAGACATTCACCGTGGAAAGCCCGTATCGTCGAAAATGGGCATAGTGGAATTTATGCAAATGAGGTGACACACCTAAAAGGATAAGTTTCAGTGGCTGCGGGAGCTGTGGGGACATTATAAGGGAGGGAATTACTTATATAACATGGGGAGAGGATGGGGACATCAAATACCCGTGGGAACATTGTCCCTTTGTCCCCTCAAGCTTCCGCGGCCACTGATAAGTTTACGTCTTAATTTCTATATGGGGTCTTATCTTATGCATTTTTCTAGTGTGCCAAACTTTGCTTGGCCTACAATTACGACGGATTCATTGTGAACAATAAACTTGACACGAAATGGCTGAAGGGTAAAGCTAACGATTTGGGCGTTAGTAAAGCCAATGAAAAATCAAAGGACGCCATCGTTGCGGCCGTGGATGGGTGCGCCAAGCCCAGTAAGTCATGCTACGTGAAAATTGCTGAAAATTGATTTCAAATTTCTCAATTTTTCTCATTTATTTATTTAGATCCTGCATACACAAGGCCAACAGCAAAAACTGAGTCATGCCCGGAATGGGAAAAATTTGATGTTTGCATGGACGAAGCTTTCAAGGTTGCTTGCAAAGGGAAAAAGGGAAAAGGCAGCGATGATTTCTTGAACTAAAGTACACACCTTATAACGTGACACTCATAAAATTACTTATATATTTAGAATGCAATTTGCAGTGAAATTAAGGCAAATTCTAATTAACTAACTAAAGGGTCGTATTTATTTGTGAACTGATTTGAATTTTAATCTAATCTGAATAAAAAAAGATCATTCGTTATTTTCTGGTAAAGTTTCATATTTTTCAGAATTTTATAAGAAGAATTTATACATTTTTAGCCTATTGCTAATTAAGCACTATAAACATGTAAAAATAGCATACACATAATTCCCAGCTTGATTTCAAATGAATAAACCTAGTGGGAAAACCTTAAATTGCTTGCACATTAGCATTTATGTACATATATAAGTACGTGATTAACCTCTTTTTAGCATAGTTAGTATGTAGTATTAAAAAAAAGAATAGTCAGGGTACGCTACCCAGTATTTTTGTGGGTTGGGGTTTTTGGGGTATCAAATCTCCGGAAAAATCCTAATGCTTAATAGGGATTTTTACGGGTTTTGTGGGGTTTTGCAAGGTTTTTGCGAGATTTTGGGGCAGATTGAGACAAAATTCTTTAAACTACAACTTGGATCAATGAAAAGTTTCGGGTTCAGCATAAAATTTTGAGCATTTTTATGTAAAATAAATAAACCCAAAAAAACCCAAAAAAAACCCAGAAAAACCCCGAAGTTTTTCCTCATGGAATACAAATTTAACCAATAACGCATAGCGGATATACAGATCTAGCGGATATATAGCGGATCTGTAACGCAATATTAAGTACTAAGCTAGTGGAGGTAGATAAGTTTCTGGTAACTTTTATAACCGAATCATTACAGCATCAACTTGCAGGGTTGACTGGTTACATAAACCGAGTTTTTATGAATCAGAAAAAAATCTCTTCAACCTTCGTGTTGGTCGTAATCAATCATTTCTATCGAACATGAGAGAATGAAATGGAGACGACGACGGGACGGCCAAGTTGACTTCCTAAATTTTGTCCAAACAACTTCCGTCTCACAAATTGAGAGTACTTTGACCTTGGTAAAGTTTACTGTGTACTGAGAGTTATTGTTTTGTACAAATTATGCAAATTATGCAAAAAATGCATCAAAATTGCGAAAACATCATTCTTGAACAAATCCACATCAATAATTTAAACGTCGATATAATCTGCAAGCAAAACATCCTGAAGATCTACCTCTGAGGATTAGGATTAGTTAGTTCTTGTAAGTTAGCTGAAATGGTGGTCGGTAAATACTTATTGATCAATGTCTTCGGTCTGCACGATTAAGTTTAATCATAAACTGATTCATAAATTCACTCAAAATTGATCAATCTGGTCTGTTAGATACTTGATTTGGCACATTGCTAAACTGTAAAGTATTTCGCGAATTGCATGCAAATACAGAGATATATAAAAAAAATATCAATAGTTTTTTTATCGATTGGTTCATATCTCTTTGATTTTGGGTAGTACATATATTGATGGATTGTTTTTTATTGCGAATTGTTTTCCTTCTTTCACTCACGCAGTCAACGCATGCACATGGACTTAATAATCTCGTGGCTAGTCGGCAGCTCTTGAAATCTAATAACACTCAATCAATCATATTCATCATATTCGGTGAATATTTTTTAGGAAATCTACTCGGTTGTAGTGTAACCCAGCAAAATTGATACAAGTTTACACAGAAAGAATACAAATCGTATTATTTGTAACGTATAAATATCCGAGTGAATTTCACAATTGTGCATTAATATTACTACCTATGCATAATTAAATGGGGCTATTAATTTGCAGCAGTCATTAATGACTCTACGCGATGATTGATCATGCAGAAGCTAAAATGACAAATTATTGGATAATATCATAAGTAATTTTAAAAAATGGTTCAGAATAATTTTATAAAAATTGGCCCTTTGAAACAACACCATTAATATGTAAATACATACAAATTTATCAATCAGAAATGATCCCCACCTACAATGGGTACAATAGACCTTGGCAAAAACATTGACAACCGATGTCACTGTCATGAAATTTGATATATTCACTGTCATCAAAACATTTATTTATTTTACAGGAAACGTCAATTATTAGTCATTACTCAACTTGCAGAAAGCCAGACATTTGGGCATTTATTAACCTTATTGAATTTGAAATTACAGATATATTTGTAGGAAGAAAACTATGAAAATAACTGGGTTAGATTTTATCAGACTGAATTTCAATAAGACGACTGTGACATGATAGACAAGGTCGCGCATTTTAAAAAACAAAATAATACACAATTTCATGAAAAAATTCTGAATTATACGCTTCGTAATCTAAAATTCCGATGTACCACAACTCAACCTACTTTTCACAATGTAAAAGTCATTTGAAATAAATTTTGCGAAATGACGGCAAGATTAAACAAATTCTAGAAAATCTTAAATTCTTCAAGGCATGAAATTAAATCTGTGAACCGAATTTCAATTACTTCTCCACCCACGCGAACAAACAAATAAATCGAGAAATACGAAAAAAATCAGAATACTGTACACTTATGTAAGTGTAAGCACTTTTGAGAGACAATCTCATTCCGTGTGTTTGAATGAATAAATTAACATTTTATATAAAAGGGTGTTGCGTTAGAGCTTGCCAAAACGTGAAAAATCTGTTGCTTCTGTATAAACACTTTAGAAACTTAAAAACTAAAAATAAACCCAAATTGTCCAAATAAGTAGAGGGCATGTATTTGTATTTCTAGGTGTAAAAAACTCCTTGTTCCTGTAACAAAATTTATATTTGCGAAACATGCAGACCTTTGCATGACAGAATTACGGAATATAAGTTAGAAACAGCAAAGTCAATAATATGCATACATAAAAAAAGTCAAGGATTGACAAACTAAGACTGTATATGTCAGAAATAAGTTATCCTAATCAGTCTCAAAAGATAAGAACGCAACAAACTGTTATTTCTCGGCACACTTTCTTTCCGAAAATCGGACTGTGGGCCTTGACTTGACCTAACTTCACTAAACTGGAGATCTTGGCTTTGTTTTGTGCAGAAAAAGGAGAACTGTAAAAGTACTCGTCGAGGGTTGATTTATTGCTCAGAATTGCATCTGCTCTCAACATTCTTTTTCGCAATTTGAGTGAGTGAGACACTCGATTTCTCCAATTGTACTTTTTTATTAGTATTTTGGGGATGAACAAACTTGTACCGATCTTCATCTCGTTCTAGAGTTGACTAGAAAATTTTGTGCATAGTGGATAAGAGAAAGTTGTAATTGGAGTTGTATTTGTATGGATTATGTGTGCACGTAGGGTCATCGTGCGAAAATATTATTTTGCGCTTAACAATTTTGAGTAGTCTGAAGATACAGAAATACCGAACAATTAGAATTTGTGCATTCGACCACAGCATTCGAGGGAGGAGTGGCCGGAACTTAAAATCAAGATTTTCAAAATACGATTTTCAAAATAAACATATTCGAACAAAGTAACTTGACTTTGTGTATGAATTCACAAATGATTATTAAACTGGTGATCTCGCAAATCTACTTATCATTATTATTAGTCAAATGTGCGAATTTTATCATGCGAATTTTATCATGCGACTTTTAACCTCTGAAAAAGCTTCTTTTATTGTCACCCAGATTCCCCAAAATTTCCAAATTCAAGAGTTGAGAAACAAAGCAAAACAAAGTTTACTTTCTCCAAAATTACTAAAAAAACATCCGACTTTCTGATCTAAGAGATTGAAGAGCATACAAAATAAAACAAATTCAGGAGAAAAAGTGAGATCCGCGTGGGATTAAAGTGTATATTTTATTGGATTCACTGCCATAAACTGCCTCCGCAATCACAAGCGTATCGTCTTCGTATCAATACTTGAAACAACTCTTCAAGTTCAATCAAAAGATATGTGACGTCTATTTTTATACGCTTGACAAAAACAAAAACATCTCAGAAAAATCGTATTGATCGAGTTGTAGGACAAGTTTTTATTAAACTGGACAAACGTTAACGTGCTACTAAAAATAAATCAAATTAACTGACCGGTTATACAGACGTCTGTAAACGTGACTGAAGTGTAATTCCTGTCCAGAACCTCAGCAAGAGAAAAGCTTTTCAGATATATTTTTATTTAAAGTTAGATTTTAAAAGTAGTACATAGTTTAATAAATAATAAATGTAGGACCTGCTAATTTCAGCATTTAAAATATATTTAGAAAACACTTATATTTAGTGCTTTTTTAAGTCCAGCAACATAAATAGTGCAAAAAACACGTTAGTTTAAGTACGTTTCGCACTTCCTTGAAATTGAGTGGGCCGTGTAGACCTCATAGAATTTCGGACAAGTTAGAAACCTATAGAAATCTGACCATGGTAATCTACATATTTACATAAATCCGATGACATGATTTATGCTCGAAATTATGTGTAGATATATACCCGCAGTTAACATTTCACGTCACATCTCACACTTTTTTGTCTACATGAGAGTCCAAAC